ATTCCAAACATGCACGGAAAACAATTACCAAAACCGGTACCATCGTGACTAGCTAAGCTTATGGCTATTAGGCGGGAAGCACTCCCAGCAATTAGGATCGTGTCAGCAGTTTTTGACCGGAGAGCCGTTTCTGGCCAGCTTACTCGGTCTTGACGTGCTGGGATATGATTCTGGAGGAACAAGCGATACCACACCTACCCTATCATCGGCTAAGAATGAAGGAAAAAACAACGGACTCAGACACTCTGCTCAAGCCGCTTTGATCGGCTCATCTCCACCGGTGTGGCTACAGTAAAAAGATCTACTCAAAAATTCCGAAATAATCTGAAAAATTGCTCCAGGAAACTGCTCTCCAAAATTGTTGGTATGTTAACCAGTGGAAAGCAAAATAGCCCTGAGTGGGAAAATACTCTGAGTATGATTTGAAGTTTTAGCCATTTTTGACCACCCACAAAATGTCGGTACGGCCATACCTTAGGAATCGCTCACCAGGGGGTAACATGACGGCGGCGGCAGCAGCAGACGGCGGATCCGATGGCGAAAACAAACTCTCAAAACAGGGTCAACCAACAAAACCGGTATTACCGAGAACTAGCCACTACTACAGGTGGTTCATACTGGAACCCGTGAGAAAATCTCTAAAAACCGTCATATTTTCTCGGTTTCTAAACGGGGAACACGCTGAGAAATACGCGGTTAATCAATAACGGTCATGGCCATGTTCAGCGAATCATTCAACGTAATCGATAAGCCTACTCCAGTGGTAAATCGATTGATCGTCATCTTCTTCGAGTCCGTTTTCATGAATGATACTTCGATGCATTAGGCGAGTAAAAGACCCAAATCGAACCACTTAATTTGTGGGCCAGGTCAGACCTCCTTCATTTGCTGACCGGATAACCCGTTTCAATCCGGTCTTATTTACCTCGATGCTTTCTGCTTTCGTTCACTGAACCACCACACAACCAGGTCATTAGACCTGAACAATCCTAACCAGCATCCAGTTTATATGCAGCTACGCTTCTTAAAATATAGAGCAGGGTAATCAGCTACCGGAATCTGCAGCTGCCCTGAGTCAACTTCTCCTTTTACGGGATACATCACCAAGTCTGCAAAAAAATGTAATAAATTTGAGGGTGAAGATAGAACAGCGCGGGCCGCTACCGCATGCATGGCCAAAGATAATCCGGATCGAATCTAAACACTAGGCCAACAAATCCATTCATTTGGCTCGGATAATTGGTACCATGCTAGTCAAGAAGGATTGAAACCCTGACTTGTACGGTGACTGGGACTTCAAAAGTTACTGCATGTTATGCTGTACACATTCAAAAACTGCTACGATTTTCATGGAAAATTCACAACATGGCGCATACCAAAAGAAGGCTCATCAACTCTAGACAGCCTACTTTAGCCTTTTCAAACTAGTTTCAGGCTACCATTACGTCCTATCAACGTGGTACTACTAAATCAGCAAATACCCATTTTGACATAAAACTAGGTCAGTTGCTAATCGAGATTGAAGTATAAAAACTAATCCCTTCGCTAAATAGGGTAAATGAGGGGTAAACCCGCTAGTTCCCACATACATTTCTGCGTTCACTAAAACCAAGTAATAAATTAGAGCTATAGTAGAAGCTCTAGAACCAGCTGAACAACGAGTAAATTAATAGTATTAAACTTGAAAAAAATACAACCCAAAAGGACCATAAAAACGTAAATACGTACGTAAAACGATTCA